CTTTTCTTGCCCAATATGGAGAGGATGTTCCCCATATCTTATTTCCAATGTGCTTCTGTCCCAAGGCATATGGATTGGCCCCTGGTTAAGGATCAAGATGTGGTTGCTCTCGGGACTTTGACTTTTCACGGGGTCCGCACAGTTGGTTATAACCGGCAAGTGACAGCTTTGCGGTCGAGTTTATTTGCTAAGGAGTATCCCCTTGGCGAAGTGCCCAGCCCGGCGAAGACCTTTGTTAAGAGGTTTTTGGAAAAGAAAGGAGAATTCCCCGCACAAGGATTTAGAGCTCCTGGTTGGGTTCATTCTCTAGTGACAGGGTGGTGGGCCCAGATGACCAAGTTTGGGTTCATTCTCTAGTGACAGGGTGGTGGGCCCAGATGACCAAGTTTGTTATGGAGGAATTGGAAACCCCTCTTGCCCAAGCTAGATTACTGGTTCCAGTGCGGGCTACTAAGTTTAGGATTATTCAGAGCCACTTTCACTTTTTCTCTATATTGGAGAAGTATAGTCCCGAGACTTGCACTTTCTTCACCCCTGTGGGGGAGTTAGGCTTCGCTCTTCACGAGATGCACGAAGTCTCAGGTCTTATTCTCGGGGATTTACCCTATGAAGAATTTGTTCCGGGGTCTGTGGAACTTAAGCTTTTGAAGAATACCAGCCCAGAAATTTACGCCACTCTCTGGGAAGTGATGTGTCACTTCCATATCTGCATGCAGCTGACGGGGGCTCGCGGAAGCGGCATCAAACAAGTGTCTTGGGCAGAATATTTATTCCGGAACTTGACCACTAAAGGAGGCTCTGTGACCCGATTGCCTGTCAGTACTTTGGAAGAGGTTCAGGCTCGCATTGACGACGCTACCTCCCATTACAACAATGAGGCCAAGGAAGATGTTTTCCCGGCTCACACAGAGTTTGAGAGCTTTCATTATCAAGCTCTGATTCCAATTTTCGATGCGGCGTTGCTGGCTGGATTTGATGTTGTGTGGCTCAAGCGTTGCGTCGTTCCTACCAGGCCGATCGATGCCCTTGCTATTGAGGTGGTCTACCCGGGAGACCTGTGAGCCTCCTCAGCGCCATGGTGGGTTGCTTACAGTATGGACTGCGGGAGTTGGCCTCTGACTTTGTTGGTGTTACAGAGGTAGAGTCTGAGGGTCACAAGACTTTCAAAACTCCCAATCCCAGGGTACCAATGCCATATGCCTATTTGATGGCTTGGTACGTGCTTCACTATCCTCCTTTGATGAGTGCAGGTCTCTCCCCCAGAAGACTCATTCATCCTATTTGTGCAGCGACTAGAATTTGCGAAATGGGTGGGGGGTTACATGGTTAGAATTCGCCAAATCCTTGCGCGAGACACCAACTTCCATACCTACCGCTGTTTCCCTGATTTCGAGGGCGGTGTCTATGGAGCAGAATATCAGGATATTGCAGGTCCTAATGGATTCACTCAGCTGAGCGGGGGTGTTTTCCATTGGCTTCTTTCCATCAGGCCAGGCTACCTGATCTTCCGACAAGGCGTCAAATGCTTCATCGAGCCTTACCAACCCTATAGGTTCGCTCACCAATTTGGGTATGATCAGTTGTACGTCGGGAATCCTCGTCCTCAACTTTCAGTCATAGGATATTTATATGAAGGAGCCAGGATTTGGTATTATTCTGTAGCAGGCTGTACCAAAGCCGTCTTCAAGCTTCCCCACAAAACTGCTAACTCCTATACCGTATTACGCCGCTTCTCAGACTCCCAACTATAACTTGAATACATCTTGCCTGAAAGACATTAGGCATATGTATAATTTAAGGAAGGGGTCCAAGACATCCCGCTTGAAAGGGATCGAAGAGTTTCTGTCCATCGAGAATCAATCTGCCGGACAGGAAGAGGAACAGGCAGCTGAGCCTGCTCCAGGGGAAGAGCAACGAGTGGTTGATCCTCCCGTGACAAGAGTAGCGGGGAAAAGAAAACTCTCTGCAGATGAAGCCGGCCAGTATGATAAGCAGATCCGTCGGAAACTGCTCTGGTGGATTTTCCCCCCAAAGGCCAACAAAAATCCAAGTTGATGGCTGAGGCCATTAAAGCTGCTAAAGATGACGAACCACAGGAATCATCTGTGGCTGGCCTGCCACATAGAGCGGGACTTCGTTCTCATGGCCCAGCTCTGTCGGGCGAAGTTTCTTCTTATCATCCTCCCGAGGACGAAGAAGATGAATTAATGGCTGCAGATGTAGAGTCTGCTCCGGTGATGGATCTTCCTAGGTCTCCTGCATTTGAACCAGGGGGTCTTGAAGATAATCCATCTCCTTCTCCTTCAGCATTAATGTCACAAGCTGGTGATTTAATGCCTAGTCCTACAACGGGACCTATGAAAAGACCAGCTGCAGGTGCAAGTCTTCCTGAGCCCTCAGCTACCCGGGATGATGAGGAGCGAGTTGATTATGAAGACTCCTCGATTGGTGATACAGCTGACGAAGATAGAGGTGATGAGGATGCTGACGCTGGCAACATGTCTGGTGGTGGTGACGACGATGAAGAGCATGATTCCATAGATGATGTCACCACTTTTGATGATGCTCCTAAGGTTCCCTCTGATAAAGTATCTGGTTATACACTGTTTCACATCTCCGGTAAGCCTAGTTTTCTTCGCTTTATCCCGCATGTGTTTTCTGCATTCCGACCATTTTTTCGTGCAGGTTCACCTTCTCCAGGGACTACTGCTGCTGCTGCTTCCGAGCCAGAACCTGCTCAGGTGTCGGCTCCTTTAGAAGAGCAATATTTACCTGGCTCTCTTACAGAAACTGCTTCACCTGCAGCGTTGCCTAAAACTACTGCCGCAACTCCTCCTCCGGAATAGCAACTTGTGCAGGCGTCAGCTCCTATGCAGGAGCAGGCCCTACCTGCCTCATCCACTATAGCTGCTTCGTCTGCAGCATTGATGAAGATCTCGCTTGCGCCCACGGAGGCCGGACTAAGCGCGTCTCCAGCGAGGGTAATGATGGCTTTGACTTCAAGCCCTTCGCAATTGAACGTTTCAGTTGCTTCCGCGACTTCTACACCCAAATCGCTCGTTAATCCATATTTCGGTGCGTCCACTTCTGGGGTCGTCGAGTCGTCCTCCATTGCTTTTTCCAGTCCAGCGGACACTCCTGACTTCCTCCATATTTCCTTGAGCTACTTGAACAGTCTCGTGAGGAAGGTAATTGAGGTTGTCACAGCTGGTCGAGGCCGCTTTGATTCTCTTAAGTATCTCCTAGAAGCGGGCTTAAATGGGGTCAAGAGTGTGGGTAATGCCCATTGCTTTGAACGTTGTTCGGAAGCTATTTCCCACTTGGAAGCCCAGCTCAAACATTTGGAAGCCCTCAGCCACGAAGACATTCAGACACAGATCGTGTCTACTTTTGCTGACTTCCAGGTTGAGGAAGTGACTCGCCGTGAGGCAATTGAGCGAGGCCTAGCTAAAAAAGAGCTTCAAGTTACGCAGTTACGGGAACAGAGCAATATGAGACAAAAAGAACTGGAGCTCTCAACTGCTTCTTTGGACCTCATTCGCACGAAACTTGTCGAAGCTGAGGCGGAGGTGTTAAGGTTGAAGGCCGAGCTTTCTCACGAAGAAGCTGTTGTTAATACCCTCGCAGACACTCTTTTGAACTACCGTAAGGAAGCTCAGGCTCTTGAAAGAGCGAAGAAGGAGGCAGCCGCTGAAGTGGCACCCACTGAGGATGAGCTGTGGAGAAGAGCTGAAGCTGTTGTGCGAGCCAATCATGAGGAGAAGCTCTCTGATGCCAAAACTCAACTTGCTTCTTTTGACTTGAACTTGTACTATTCTTTTGCTTAAGAACAGCTTTGTATCACTTCTTTTTGGTTTCTGAATAAAAAGTGATATTGACTTCTCATTGTCTCTTGCATTTATTATGTTTTGATTTTAAACACAAGTCATGGGAAATGCGTGAGATGTATTCCTGACTTAGAATAGATCTCCACAATGGTTCTGGTGCAGAAAACTCTCTTTATTATCGTTTAAGATAACTCTAGAAAGTTTTAAACTGCTGAGGATGAATATTCCCATAATGGGGTTGACTAGTAGAATTCTTCCTGTGTTATTTCTTGCTTTGAACACTGAAAGAAATCGATAAGTGCCAGAGGTATAGTTTCAACTTGGCAGGGGAATTATTACGATCTGGGCAATTTTGAAGACTTATCGTTCTATGACGAGAATCGATAAGTTGATTTTGTCAGAGGTGTAATTTTAACGTGACAACTGGAATATTGCGACCAGGGCAATTTCGAGGACTTATCGTTCTGTTGACGAGAATCGATAAGTTGATTTTGTCAGAAGTGTGATTTTAACGTGACAACTGGAATATTGCGATCAGGGCAATTTTGAGGACTTATCGCTCTATTGACGAGAATCGATAAGTTGATTTTGTCAGATGTGTAATTTTAACGTGACAACTGTGGGGGAAGGATATTATGGCGTCTCACTGGGGAGAACTGCTAAGTGTTTTACCATCGGAGCGATGAATTGTGATACTTGTGATTTGAACAAGGTTTTGGGGAATTTTGTTAACCCGCTGAAAGCAGGTTATTTATTGCTCTGCTGAGGAGAGCTAATAAATTGACAATGAGTTAGAGACTTATCATTCTATTAATGAGAATTGATAAGTGGATTCTGGGGTGTAGTATTAACCCAATAAGAATTTAGATTCTGCTGAAGAGATATAGAGGTTTTGACTAACACTCTGCTGAGAGGGCTCATGACTTTGAGGAAAAAAATGTCATGTTTGAAGGCACAAGTGCAAATTCTTTATTTAGAAGAATTGCAACGCTGAGGTGACCTTCGCGTTTGATGTTTGAAACGCGAGGTTCGGGCCTTCGTGGCGCTAGCCTGAGCTTTGCACTTGGAAAATTTGAACGCGGCTATGAACTTCGCGTTTTGGAGATCGTTGGGATTCACTCCTAGAATCCCGTGCTATCTTAACAGCTTGACGGCTGTTATAAATAGACCTGAATGGTCACGTCAAAAGTCAATTGGCTTTCAAGACTTTCGGCTATTTCCAAGAACGAGAACTCTCGTTTGGCTACGGCGAGATCTCCGACGAGCTTCGTCTCCCTCGTTCAAGGGATCTTCCTCCGATCAACTGCATCAATGGCGCCTCGGAGAAGGGATTCAAACTCCAAGAAAGTCGCTGAGGCGACTTCCGACATGCCGTCGGCTGAGAACGCTAGCGGTGCTCTTGCTCGTGCGGGAACCTTGCCATCAACATCGCCGCTGCAGGGGCCTCCTTGTCGTGGTGAGTGCTGACTGAAATAACTTGCCTTGGCAAGTTCTCTGAAAACCCTAAATGGGTTCTGGATAACGAGGAAGATGACTCGTTTTAACTCAATGAAAACGCGGGGTTGGGATCCTATGTGGGTCTCGACCCTCGCGTTCAAGTTTTTCAACACGAGGTTGACTCTCGCGTTTGAGGCTTCTGACGCGGGATTCGACCCTCGCGTTGGAGATTTCTGACGCGAGGTTTGACCTTCGCGTTGGGGACGAGACTTTAACCCTTTGTGTTTCTGACTATGTCTTTATGTCGATAGCTCGCTTCTAGCTGCTAACTTCTACTTTTGATTGTGCAATGCTTCTCTCAAACGTGCCACTTTCACAAGAGCACTATTTCGGATATATTGGTGGACCTGACTCGAATGAATTATTCAGTCTTCAGAACAGGATTCCATTGTGTACTTTTCCTGATTCGGAAAGAGCAGAAATGATTAAATTCCCTCGATGCTCTACTCTTAGGATTTTGATAACTGACTTGGACTTGGAGACCCCTGTTGGTCATGCCCAGTTTTCCAAACCAGCATTCATATTTGGAGATCGCATACCAGTCGATGACCATCTCACATATGTGGAAGATTCGAAGCTGCTGTGGAGAGCTGATAATCGCTCTTTATTTCTCCCAAACATGAAGAGGATGTACCCTCTCTCCTACTTTTTGAATGTGAGCTGCCGTCGGGGTTTGACCTTCGACATAGTAAAGGAGAAGGAGAACGTGTCGCTTGGATTTGGTCAACGAGCTCGTACACAAATCGGGGAACAACTCAAGGGGTTAAAACCTGGTTTGTTTGAGAAGAAAGAGCTGGTTCCGGAGGTACCACGCCCAGCGAACATTTTTATCCGCCAATTCCTTGCAACTCAGGGTGGATTCTCTACCCAGGCGTTCAGGTCCCCTGGGTGGGTCTGTTCTGGAGAAGGAGGTTGGTGGACCCCCATGGTTGACTTTGTTCTTGAGGAGCTTAAGGACTCGCTCGCTCAATCGGGTTTTACAGTTCCTGTGTTAGCTACACAACGGGGAGTCGTACAGAGCCTTCACAATTTTTTCGCTATGTTGGAGAAATATAACCCTGACAGCTGCACATTCTTCACGCCTGCTGGAGAGTTAGGTTTTGCTCTTCATGAAATGCAGGCAGTGTCGGGGCTGTCGCTTGGAAAAACGCCCTACGAGGAGTTTATCCCCACCACCGAGGAGCTTTCCTTACTGAAGGTGGCGCACCCGGAAATTTATGCTACTTTCTGGGAGCTGATGTGCCACTTCCACATATGTGCCCAAGTCTTTGGGATGCGTGGAGGGGGCATTATGCATACCACGTGGGCAGACTACCTCTTTCAGAATTTAAACCGGAAAGATGTAGCCGTATCTCGGGTTGCTGTGATCTCTCGTAAGGATGCCAAAGCTCGAATTACAGCTTCCAGTGCTACCTATAAGACAGAGCATGCAGAGGATGATTTTGAAGCTGGTGCCGAGTTTGAAAGTTTTCACTACCAAGCCACAGTTCCTATCTCTGACACGGCTCTACTTGCAGGCTTCTTCATGATTTGGTTGAAGCGGTGTGTGGTACCGTCAAGACCAATAGAATCAATATTAGCTGAGGTTGTGTACCCAGCTGTTTTGCTAGCGCATGGGAGACCTGTGAGTCTCCTTACTGCTATGGTTGGCTGTATCCAGAACGGCCTGAGGGTATTGACTTCAGAACTTCTCAGTGCTTCAGGAGTCAAAGTTACTAAGAAGAAAGCTGGGAAGGCTCCTCAACCACGTGTACCAATGCCATATACATATTTAGTGGCCTGGTTCGTGTTGCATTGCCCTTCCTTGATGACGGGAGTGCATGAAGGGGATGATGCTTATACTCCCTTCGTACAAAGATTGGAGTCGGCCACGTGGACTAGTTCTTATATAGTCAGGGCTCGACAGCTTCTATCCCGGGAAGATAATTACCGGGTTTTCTGCTATGCTCCTAACTTTAACGGAGCTGATGTGGAGGATGCTCGCTTCATGGATTTGCTTTTTGAAGGCTCGTCTTCTTTGGAAGAGGGTACATTCAGCTAGCTTCTTATGATCAGGTTGGGCTACCTGGTCTATCGCTCGCGAGAGAAGTGCATAATCGAACCTTACATGCCTTCATGGTTCGCCAGACAGTTTGGGTATGACCAACTCTATGTTGGTAATCCTAACCCAACGTTAGCTCAGATTGGGAATTTGTATGAAGGAGCTCGTGCATGGTACTTCTTCTCCGCCGGGGGAACCCATGCGCAATTCACTTTACCCAACTCACCGCCCGGCTGTTCTACTGTTATGGATTTCTGTCAGTGGTTTGTCAAAGCTTCTCAGATTCCGGAATATGACGTTTATACTTCATGTATAAACGAGATTCGGGAATTGTATCGTTCACGGAGCGGTTCTGCGAGTACTCGTCTACCAGGGATGGAAGAGTACCTATCTTGTGAACAGGTAGCGACCGGAGCCGTTGAAGCTCCTAAGGACTTATCCACCATAGAACCTTCTGAAGAAGAGGTTCCTACGGGAATTGAAGAGGGAAAGCCAATTGATGATTCTCCCGAAGAAAAGACAACTGAGGAGATTCCTGCAGAAGAGCCCATTCCTACACCTCGTTCTTTAAGATCGGGTAAGAAAACTCTTTCTGCTACTGAACAAGGTGAGTATGACAGGAGAATTCGTAAGCGGATACCTGTCATGGACAAAAATTCCAAAAATGCCAAATTAATGGGGGACTCGATGAAGTCTGCGCTCGTTGAGCGTTTAATTGACAGAGAGGACGAAATTCCCCAATCGATTCCTTCGATTCCTGAGGACGATAGAGCTGGAGAGGGCCCTTCTTCTGAATTGCTCCACCACCTGTTCAGGACGAACATACGATTTTAATCTATCTAACCCTTCCTCCTCCACACTCGCGGGCTCTGAAGAAATCGATTGATGAACTGGAACGTTGGAAGCAAATAATTATTAATATTGTCAGTGTTGAGGGGGCTTCTCTTGAAGACTGTGAATCTATCTTGAGCCAATGTTTGGACGACATCAAAGCTAAAGGGGATGCATCCTGGACTGAGCACAACCAAGGGGGAATCACTCTTTTGATGGCAGAATTAGCAGTTTTCAGGGAGCTACAGCACACCAATCTAGACTCTGAAGTGGAGCCAGCTCTTTCCTTGGCGATAATCTCGAGGGCGCATCACCCAGGGACTCTTCGCAAGGACCTGTTTGATAAAAAGGCCCACATATCAGCTTTAAGGAAGCGGCACTCTGCAACATATGCTAAAATCAAAGGTGTTGCTTCTGATATCCGTGGTATCGAAGAGACTATCGCTCGATTAGAGGCCGAGTTGGACCAGAAGAAAGCCCAATTGGCCCACTATGAGGATGTCAGAAAAAAGCTTGAGCATCAAAGTGGCCAAATTTATACTAAATTTTGTCGTACACTCCACGCGGCTGAGCGGGCTCGTAAGGACATTGTTGCTACCCTTCCTATTGAAGCAGAACTCAGAAAGGAGATCGAGGGACAAGTCCAAGCGGCTCACCGGGAGAAACTTTCTGCCTTCAAGTCTAGGCTAAAAACCCTCAAGTTAATGAAGCCTGATGTTTAGCTCTTGACCTGTTCTTGGCTAAGGAATTTTGTATCTTTTTCATTTTGTTTGTCATCATTTTGTGTTTAGATTAACAACATTGAATGAAAATGATATCGTTTTGCCCTTTATTGTCTCTTTTGCTGAAATCTGGCTCAAAACAATAGAGAATAATGCTAATACTATCGAAATTCTCTTTATCATTTATTAGAATAATTCCAGCAAATTATAGTCGTCAGAGGTGTAGTGTTAACGTGACGAAATATAAAACAGAATTACACTATAAAATGGGCAACCCCCAGCCTGATTTAGCTGGGGTTTAGGGGGCCGCATGATTTACGGGAAGTATCTTTTAAGGAATTTCCCATTAATTGGCATCATGAGCCTATCTCCTTCTTGGTTAATGAGGCGGTATGCTCCGTTCGAATAGACTGATTCTATTACGAAGGGCCCTTCCCATTTAGGATTGAACTTCCCTTTGGTTTTGTGTGTCATCACCATGGGTCGTCTGTTGGCTAAAACTAAATCGCCTTTCTTGAAAATCCGTTCCTTAACCTTTTTGTTGTAGGCTTTGGAAATACGGGCTTGATACAACTCTATTTGTTGTTGAGCTTGAAGTCGCTTGTCGTCTAAGGCTTCAAGTTCTTGCAGACGTCGTTGATGCTTTTCTTCTTCTGTTAGTCCAGTTGTGATAGCGACTCTCAGAGAAGGAATCTGGATTTCCAATAGCAATACAGCCTCGTAGCCGTATACCAAAGAAAAATGTGTGGCTCTTGTAGAGGTCCTTACCGTAGTGCGGTAAGCCCACAGACATTCACCAAGTCTTTCATCCCAATCCGTCGGCTTTTAGAAACAAACTTTTTGAGAAGCTTCACTATGGTTTTGTTAAAAGCTTCTGCAAGACCATTTGCTGGTGGATAATATGTCGTGGATGCAACACTTTGGATTCTAAATTTGTCACAGAATCTCTGAAACCCAAAGCTGACGAATTGTGTCCCGTTGTCGTGAACTATTCGTCTTGGGACTCCAAAGCGATAGATGACGTGATGTTTGATAAACTTGATCACGTTTGAAGTCTTGACTTCTTTCAACGGGATGGCCTCCGCCCATTTGGAGAAATAGTCGGTTACGGCTAAAATGAACCGGTGTCCCTTGGACGTCGGAGGGGAAATCGGTCCGACGATATCCATACCCCACATTTCGAATGGCCAAGTCGCCGATGTAGGGTGTAAGTTTCCTGGTGCTTGGTGGATGAAATTCCCATGAATTTGGCACGCGTGACAACGTTTAGCATAGTCAACCGCGTCTGAAAACATCTTCGGCCAATAATAGCCGATGCGTCGGAGGCGATCTCCTAATTTAGCTCCAGGCTGATGAGCTCCACACATTCCGCCGTGAGCTTCCTTGAGGGCCTCTTTTGCTTCCTTCCGAGAGAGGCATCGAAGCAAAACTCCATCATGCGATTTACGATACAGGACTTGAGAGACTGCGTCGTAATAGAATCGGAGGGCCTTTCGTTTGATAGAGGCCGCTTCCTTAGGATCTTCTGGTAGAATTCCATATACGGCATAGTCGATATACGGGAATCGCCAATCCCTGGATTCAAACTCTATAGAGGTTGTACAGACTTCTCCTGACGGTGTATCGTCTGAGTTTTCTTCTGTAGGAATTTTAGAAAAGTATAGTTTCCATCCCGCGACTGGAATTGTTGTTTCAGTCTTCGGTGGCAATGCTAATGAGGTTGCCAAGGAGGCTAGAGCATCTGCATAAGCATTCTGAGCTCGTGGTATATATTCGATGAAGAAACCTTCAAACTTTTGAGCTTGCTCTAGCACTGCGAGGTAGTACGGGATCAAATCCTCATGACGAACTTCGTATTCTCCTCGGACCTGATTAACGATGAGTTGGGAGTCACCGTAAGCCTCAAGGTGTCGAACATTGAGTTCTTCAGCAAATTGCATTCCCAATAGCAGAGCATTATACTCGGCTACGTTGTTAGTGCAAGGTTCGATTAAGGAGAATCCTCTGGGAATTATATGGCCGTTCGGAGAGATTAATACTACTCCTACTCCCATGGTGATTGCTCCATGAGGATTTGCTCTGGATGCACCGTCGAAGAATAACTTCCACACTTGCGTAGCTTCTTGAGTAGCGCAAGCTTCGGCGACTTCGTCAGGTAATTCTTCATACAACTTAGATGCTCCCGATACTGGATGATCAGCTAACGGCTAAGAAGTCTGCCAGTGCTTGACCCTTGACCGCCTTTTGGGGCATGAACTGCATGTCGTACTGTGACAAGAGAATGGCCCATTTTGCAAGCCGGCAATTCAGAGATGATGGTTTCGTCATCAGTACTCTCAAAGGATTTACTTTGGAAATGACGTGAATTGTCTGTCCAACTAGGTAATGTCGCATCTTTTGAATTGCGAATACCAAAGCGAGACATTCTTTTTCGACCGGATTGTACCGATGTTCGGCTCCCATCATAGTCCGGCTCAGGTAATAGATGGCTTGTTCTTGACCCTGATCGTTGTTCTGGGCCAACAAAGCTCCAAGGGAATGGTCCATGGCTCTCACATATAACAGGAATGGTTTTCCTGATATCGGGGCCATGAGAACTGGTGGTTGAGTTAGATATTTCTTAATCTCCTCGAATGCTCTTTGACATTCCGCATCCCAAACAAAGGATATTCCTTTCTTCATAAGCTTAGAGAAAGGTTGGCAACGCCCTGATAGATTTGATATAAATCTTCGAATGTAGGCCAGTTTGCCTTGCAAACCTCTGAGCTCTTTGAGATTCTTCGGAGGTGGCATGTCTTGGATGGCACGCACTTTTTCTGGGTCAAGAGAGATTCCTTTGGATGTGACAATAAATCCCAAGAATTTTCCACTTGAAACTCCGAGAAATGATTTTGTCGGATTCATCTTCAGCTGATGTGCTCGCATGATTTCGAACATTGTCTTCAGATCTGCAAGATGATCGTCTTTGCATTGGCTCTTTACCGCTATGTCATCAACGTAGCACTCAATCTTCTTTCGTAAGTGTTCATGGAAGATGGTGTTCATTGCACGTTGATAAGTTGCACCTGCATTCTTCAGGCCGAAGGGCATCACTGTGTAGCAATATACCCCCAGCGGTGTTCTAAAAGCAGTATGCTTTTCATCGTCCGGGTACATCTTGATCTGATTGTACCCGGAGAACTCGTCCATGAAAGACATCCTTTCATACCTGCATGTGTTGTCAATCATAACATCCGTGATAGGAAGCGGGAATTCGTCTTTCGGACAAGCGGCATTGAGATCGTGGAAATCGATGCATATCCGAACCTTACTATTCTTTTTGGGAACTGAAATAATGTTGGCCACCCAGTCTGGGTGCTGCTCTTCCCTAACAAAACCTGAGTCTATAAGCTTTTTAACTTCTGACTCAATTGATTCCATGATCTCTGGACGAAACCTACGTTGTTGTTGTTTAACGGGTTTTGCGTCCGGATCAATGTTGAGACGGTGCATGGCAACCTTCGGGTCAAGGCCAGGCATATCTTCATAGTTCCAAGCGAAGACATCTATATATTCTCGGATGAGAGATATAAGGTCCTCTTTTTCGGATGATGACAAGTCTTTAGCTATGAATATGGGCTTAGGATCATGTTCATCTCCCATGTTGACCTGGATCACTTTATCTTCAGTGGGTGGTACGCGTTGTTCGAATCGCATATCCCACAAGATATTGAGACGTTTGATCCAAGGATCATTGGTCGATTCCATCAACTCCTCGTCACCCCCTGCGTCTTCATCTGGATGACTAGTTGAAACCATGTTCACAGTCAGGTTTTTAAAGAAAGGTCCAACACTGACGTCGGACTTGTATGAAGATGTTCCAGATGAATGGTCGTGACGCAGGTAATTACTGATTTCGTTTTCTGAAGCAGGGGGAGGTGTAACGTAACCCACTCCTCTTCCGGTTTTTTGATAATAATCCGAAGGTTTTCCTTCAGGAGTGAGAGACATCCGGATCGGGGTTCGTCTTCCTTTCCCGAAGTTCAAGCCCTGTTTCTCATTAAAGTTATACCCCCATTCGTTTCATTAAGTATATAGAATTGGGTTCGTGGTAATGGAATTAGGGAACTCCGTCGTCTTCCTCTGAACTTGCTCGTTTGAGTTGTTCGGGTTTGACTTTACCAAAACAGATCGGCTTCTGCCCTTTCCTTTTGGATGGGACTTTGAAGAAAGCCTTCTGTGCGTCCTCCACTTCTTCATCTGAAGCGAAGGATGACTGAATTGGCAAGGTGAGCGACGCCTCTGTGCACAGTATGTGCCATGGGTTGGTACCTGCACTAGAATCATTCTCTATTTGTTCATTTTTAGGAGAGACATCAGACAAGTACGCTAAAATGAAATCTTCATTAATGCACCACTCGCCCTCACTCGGTACATCATTATTACTCTCACCCTGACCCGTTACATCAAAGTTTAATTCCCAAGGACAATCTTCATCAGGATCTGGCTCGATGTCAGCTTCGTTACCGCTGTCCACATCTTCTTTCTCTTGGGATTCCAAATAGAAGACAGAGTCGGTGTGGAAGTTTTCTACTCCTCGGAAGGGGTATTTCTCTGCGATCAAGGTTCTGACTTCGCCCTTGTCATTGGCGTACTTCATAACCTGATGCAAAGTAGATGGGACAATGCGGTTTGCATGTATCCATGGTCGTCCTAGCAAAAGATTGTAGGACGTGTCTGCATCTATGATGTAGCATGC